TCTAAATTAAAAATATATATTTTTTGGATTTAACAAAATTCCAAAAAGAAAAACTCCTTTCTTGTTTATTTTTTTTAAAAAACCAATCTATTAACTTACTCAACTATACCTTGCTATCTAATTATCAATTACCTTTTTCTAATTATTACAGTTTTAACACTAGATACTTTTATAAATACTCTAAGTTCTGGCTTATTTCTTTTTTAGAAAACCAAATCATTATTGGTAAAGCTTATCATCAATCTAGCACTTCTGGTTATACTCTTATTAATCACTAGTAATATAATATTACAAACCCATTATCTTAACTCTATCCCTTACCCTCTATCTTCACTACTCTATACACTAATTGTCCTCTAAACTCGAATATTATTGCTAACAAATATACTGCTTTTATTGCTACAAGTTATGCTACAAAATTCTTAGACAGACTCTTTCCTAATAAAACACTTGATTTCCATGCTAATTATCTTGACCTTCTGCATTTTATTACATTTTCCAAACCTAGTTCTCCTCCTCCTCTACCGAATATTAATATTTTTGCTACCCAAATTCTTCAATCTTCCATTCTGATATACGGTTACAGGTTAGAGTATCTATTATCATTTAATATAGTGAAGAACAATAAATACTTACCCGATATTGCACTTTCTTTAGAGTTTCTTCCGGTTAGCATATTGTCATGGACGCGCTTGTGCGAAAGTCAAGTGACATAAACAAGATCGATTTATTTATCGCCGAAGCTACGGACAGTTCTTAAGGACAGTTCAGTGGCCAGAATTAGGATTAGGGTTAGCAGTTAGGGTTAGGGTAGGTGGATTTAGTTAATTTTAGTCAGCATGTACTGTCCGTAGACTCGTATAATCATCTATCACGTGATATAACATTTTTTAGCATGATAAGATTATCATACGTGCATCAATTTCGGCTTCGCTTTTATGAAAATGAGAATGGTTTCGCCTGATAATTGTAAAGTTTTAGTTGTTAATGGGGAAATAATTACTGATACGGAACGACCTTGGAAATGCACATATGAAGAGTGTAATAAATCCTTTAAAGTTCGGTCTAAGCTGGAAAGACATCGAATAACGCATACAGAAACGGTAAATACGAGCATTTCCAATTATGAAAAGACTAACAGATTGCTAATTTTTATAAATTTTTTTTTATAAAATAAATAAATTATAGCGACCCTTTAAATGTCCGGTGCCTAATTGTGAAAAAACTTATAAACGATTAGATCATTTACAAATTCACGCAGTTGTACATGGACAAGATCCAAAGCCATTCAAATGTGAAATTGAAGGTTGTGAGTCAAGTTTCTCAATAAAACATCATCTAAGAAGGCATAAAAAAGAGATACACGAGACTGAGAGAATATATAAAGTAAGCATATTAATTAATCAAGATAATTATGGATTGAACATAATTCAAAAAAAAAAAAAAAATATTAGTGCCATGTAGAAGAATGTGGATCAACATTTACACAGGATTATTTATTAAGAAAACATATGACCATACACACCAAAAAGAAACCCTACCCTTGTGAAGATGAAGGATGTGAGAAAAGTTTTTCGTCTTCAACCAAATTACGAATGCATAAACGAGTTCATTTTGGTAAATTTTTTTTTTATTATCTATCACATAATTTATATACTACCCAAATGTTTTATTAAAATTAATTTAGATCAAAATAGATGGCGATGTGCATTTCAAAGATGTGAACAAGAATTTTCAAAGATTAATGAACTTCACGCTCATATACGAAATGACCACGAAGCTATTTGTGAATTATGTAATAAAAAACTGAAAGATATGAAAGCACTTAGGCGACACATGATAACACATAACCCTGATCGTATCTTATTTCCATGTAATTGGAAAGATTGTGAAAAACATTATTATAGTGTATGTGTTATTAAATCAATATTATTAAAAGATTATCATTATGAACAATAAAAAAACTTGTAAATTTTTTAAAATTTAGAAAAAAGCTGTTTATGCACATATTCGAGCAGTACACCAAAACGATCGTCGATTTGACTGCCATGTTCCTGGATGTGGGATGTCTTTTGCATACAAAAAAGTTATGGATAATCATATCAAAAATATTCACGAGGTTAGTTTTGAATAATTTAAAATAATAATAATATTTAAAAAATAATGATTTCAAAAATAATATATTTTTAACTTGATATAATTTAATTACATTTGATAATAATGTTGGCAGCACCCACGTTCGCGTAAAATTAGAAAGCTGAATAAAGATGACAAGATCAACCGTAATGTAACTGAAATTGAACATCTTACAGGTTTCGGTTACTATGATTCTGGTAGAAATATATCGTGTACGGTTGAGGGATGTGAATTCATGTTCAAGCGTCAATATGATCTGAATAGACATATGGAAAGTAAACATCCAAATTAGAAAAATAAGAGATTAATGAAAAGGATTTGGTATTAAAGTATAGATTTTTAAGTATAGGATTTTTGAACATAATTTAAAGTAAAATTTTGAACATAATTTAAGTAAAATTTTTGATGGAAAATAAAAAAAGTTCACGTTTTATCAATACAGTTTCTGGAATGAAAGTCTTTTTAATCATCATTCACTATATTCACTCATATTCACTATGATTAATATAATTAAAATTTAATCAACACGTGTAATGCGAAATCAGGTATTAACAAATCCATATACACATAGACACTTTATTAGATGTTTTTAATCATCAAATGACATTTCTAATATTATGAATCCCATGAAAAAATCACCCAAAAGGAAAATTACAAAAATAATATTACAATATTATAATAATTAATAGACAGGATCATAACAAATAGAATAGAAAAGATTTTTTTTCTTATACAATCATATCAGATAATTTTGGAATTAAACAGAAGTTTTCGTGGGTTCAGGGACGTTAGACATCTGAACTTCAGGTTCATCTTTTAGTTCTATAAATCTTTCTTGATGTTTCCTTCTGAAAACAAGAACCAACCAAGTACCGACAGCAAAACCAGCCAATCCGGCAAGAATGCTAAATGTAATAATCAAAGCCTCAGCAATAGGAGATAATTTTTTAGAACCATTAAATCCATTATTTGCAGAAGATTGAGAACCATCTTTAGAAGAAGAATCACCAGTGAAATTATTTGCACTACAAGTTCCAAAGGTTTGAGGTTGATTTGGATCCTTACAATCAGACGAAGTTAATATAGTTGGAGAATCATTATCCGAAAATTTATGAAGCCATCTTGTGTTATAAGAAGGTTGATAAGTTGGATACTGAATTGCAATCAAATCTTGCATAGCGATATCAGGACGTGCAGCGGCACTCTCATACCAATCAATATAGCCATCAGTATTCACAAGTTTATTCACACGATATACACGTCGGTAAGTGATAAAATCAGGAATATTTACACTACTCTGTACTGGATAATAACCAAATGTGCGTTGCCAAGCATCAAAACTGCTAATAGATTGTGATTCATCAATAACAATGTAAGCGCTGTCGATGATCGAATGCAGTTCATCAGTTGTATTTACAATAGATGCAGGATTTTTAAAGTAATAAGCGCCTAAACAATGATAAAAGAAAAAAAAATCATCAAAATGTATAATAAACATATAATAAATTTTTTTTTTTTTTTTTAGACATACTACAATAAAATTAACTAAAGGGACTACCAACCAGCATCCTGGATTATTTGGGTGTGATATACGTCATTTTTCACTTCAAATTGCTTTAAAATAGGGTCATAAGATACCCAAGCAATTGTTTTTTTGCTAGCAATAGGTATATAATTAAGATTATTGGTATTACATTGATAATTATTTTGTAAATATTCGACACTTCGTGTGACATCAGCCTCCTTGTCAAAGAAAAGCGAATAGAATTTGACCCACTCTAATTTCTATATTGAACATCATTGAACACCTCAGCATTAGATTAATAAGGTCAGAAAAAAATAAGACTAATGAAGTATAAAGTTTTTTTTTTTTTATTATATTACCTGAAGTGGAGTAAGATCATCACCTATGCTTATAATCACATTCTTATTATCATTAGTTGCCTGTGAAGGGTTTAAAAAGACGACATCAACGTTCGCAGTATCACTCCAATTGAAATTTTGAACAGACTGATTTTCTATATTCTTTCGTAGACAAGGGGATGTAATGCTTGCAATGTTATTGACGTATCTTATCGAAGAATAAACATTTAGTAACTTTAATATAAAATAATAAACATTAGAACAATTTTGTTATTGTTACATATAAAATTATTGAATTTGAGAAATTTAGATAAAAAGCACCTCTAAAAACGTAACAATAGATACATCCAAAGTTGCAACATTTTTTTACAGGTACTTGGAAATACTTGGGAGCAGGTATATCGGAGACATTTGGTGCAGAAGCGCTGCAATAAAGGATATAAACCTCGTTTGTTCGTAAATTATTAACAACTTTATAAGTGTTATTGTAAGTTACTGTAAAGCCTGCATTTTGTGTTAGTTGTGCTATTATTAGAAAAAGAATTTTAATACATAAAAGTTAATTTTTTATAACAGATAGTAAAAAAAAAAAAAAAAAAAAAAAGTTCTTACAAGTTTTAATTTGTGCTTCCAGAGGGTAAGAACAATCGGAAACAGCTGGACTGACATTGTAACCAAAGAAAACCAATACATAAATTAAGATTATAGAACGAAGCGTTTTCATCATATTTTTTTTTTTTTTTATGAGATCATATAACAAAAATGGTCATAAAATCGAAAAAACGGCTTCACTTTGGGCAAAGCAGTAATTTTTCCTGATAGCATTGTGGGCACTATATATAATTGTAGTACCCCCTTTCACATCGCGATATGATTATTTCATGAAATAAATTAATAATGACTAAATTCATCACATTCTAAATACTACGTAATACAATTAAATGTACTCACGTGTGACAAACATATCCTTTTGCAGTATCAACATGTTATGTCGATATATCAGGATAGTAACAAGTTACGAGTTACGCCAGATAACTAAGGTTATTTCAATTTAGCTTATTTAGTCAAAAATTTATCAATTTATATAAATATTTTGACTTAATCCAGAGTAGTTTATTTCCTTGATGGATCATCTATACGTACGTACAGAATGGTTTTCTTTTTGATTGGTTAATTTAAAACAATCGCCCAGGTGCCTTACATTTTTCCGGCAAAAGAACCTAGAAATGCTTTGAATGCGAAATTTCTAATAAGGTACTGTATGTATTATAGTCATTAAACTGCATATAATTATTATATGTCAAAGACAATTGACTTCTGGACTTGTTAAAAAAATAGAAGGTTTACTTTGTTAAAAAAAATAAATAAACTATGTATAATAAGTTTCATTATCTAGATGAATTCATCGTTAACATGCATGAATATATATATATATTTAGTAATAAAAATGTTTGAAATCTTAAATAGGATTATCAATTTCATGTAATTAACCAATCAGGGCAAGTTATTCCATATGGATTGTACTGTACGTACCTGGTACGTACGTACCATCCTTAGGCAAACGGTATTAATAATGATATATGAAGCCTTATCAGGAATAAATGCACTTATTAAAGTTTTGTGTTTATTTTCGGAATGTTCAATGAATTTTTTTTTTTTTTGACTCCTTTTTTTTAATAAATCATAAATAAATTATACCGTATAAATAAATACTTATCGGAGTAGCGGACTTAATTCTAAGTAAGACAGTAAGATGATACAAATACGTACTGTTCAATTTCATCCAGATCTTTAATTAGTAAATGACAATTAAAATCCGTATTTATAAGCGTACAATTAATATATAAAGTAAAAAACCAGAAACAATTTGCAGACAAATTCGAGACGGATCGTTACTATTTCTACTCAATCTCTGTTCCTATTTTTAGCTAACAAGTGTTTATCTGTTATATATCGATGTATGTAACGGTAAGTACCGTACGTAAGTACGTACAGTACGTACGTACCAGGTACGCACCTATTTTCCAGTATACGAATTACGTACGTACGTACGTATATGCCAATAAAATAAATTTTTTTAATGGCTTCTTATTTAATAAACTATCAATGGCGCACATTATCCAAAGTTTTGAAACTTTGATTACGCCATATGGTGTATTTATATATACTCATTTTTTTTATAAAAAAAAATCTTCCATTA